TTTAACACAAGAGATGATTTGTAGATTCGCAACTAGGTTTATTGCCATAAACGGTGAGAATGTTGCCATTCGGCAGATTGAGGCGGAACGGCCCTTTCATAACATAGAATGTCGGCACGATGAAGCTTAACCAATCCATACCAATGATTATATCGAAACTTTTTATGGTGACCGGCATAAGGTCAATTTTGAACAAATGGTTGTCTAGAGTGAGAGTACACCCTATGTAAATATCATCAGCACGCTCAACCTTTCCATTTGCCATTTCTACGATGTAAGAATATTCTAGTGGTTGAGAATTTTGCTTAAGTATATGTTTGAATTGGTGACTTATGAAACTTCTTTCTGCCCCACTATCGAAAAGTACGCATGCATAAGAGTTATTGAGGAGGAACGTACCAATAACCATAGAGGGATCCTTGACTGCTTCTCCCTGCCCTAAAGTTAGGACTCTCCCTACACCCCCAGCATTAGGTCGTGCCTTGGGGCAGTTCCTCCTGAAGTGTCCCGTTTCACCACATCCATAGCAGGTTTGGCTTGCTCTGGTGTTGGCGGTCGTAGCGACTTGTGCGGCGGGTTGGGTAGTCGCTCTACAGAATCGTGCGGTGTGCCCCTTCTTGTTGCAGTTATTGCAGTGTAACTCTCGACAAGCACCGTTATGGTGGTAGTTACACTTGTTGCACTTAGGAAGAGTTCCTGTATACTGTTTCGGCGGCGCTGGAGCGACAGCAGTAGTGGCGGCACGGATAGCAACAATCTGTTGCTTTTTGGCGGGGTCCTGAATTGGTTGTTTCTTTTTATTGCCCTAGAACTTCCTCTTGTTGTTCCCTCCTTTTGTTCGGTCGGTGGTGGTTATCACGGTACCACGGCTAGCCCTGTGATCTATGAGTTGTTGTGCCAATTCCTTGGCACTCTCAAAGGTAGTGGGTTTCGAGGCCAATACACTATCTTGAATCTGAGATGACAGCCCCCAGAGATATCGTTCCACCTTCTTCTCTTCTGGAGTGACCATTGTTGGACAGAGAAGTTAGGTCGTTGAAACGGGTAGTATAAGTTTCAAGATCAGTGCCTGTCATTCTGAGGTTCCAAAGTTCTTCTTCAAGTTTTTGTATTTCTCCCCTCGGGCAGTATTCCTTTAACATTAGGGCTTTCAAATCCTCCCAGCTGATTGCGTTAGCTACTGCAGGAGTAAGTGATTTAACTCGGCCATTCCACCAAGTAAGTGCTTTTCCAGTGAAAGTGAATGCCGCATACTTGACCTTGCTCGCTTCGGGACAAGCGCAGATTTCAAAACTGCCTCGGTCCTTTCGAACCATTGCACCAGCGTGATAACGCCCCCGCTTCCATTGAAAGGGTCGGGTTTGCCATTCGTGAAGTCTTTGTAAGAGCACTCCCTCGTACGCCCCGTGCTGTCCCATGAATGGAATTGGTAGCTCCGATCCAGAACCGCTAGAACCATTGGTTCCCATTTGCGACATTGCTGCCGCCACGGCTGCCATTACTGCAGCCTGGAACATCGCAGGATCAAACTGCGGAGGTGGTGGTGGAGGCGGCACTGTGTTGTTGGAAGGCCTTGGTCTTTTCCTTGGTGGCATGGTTCTGTCATAAAGAAAAAAGACCAGTCGGTAAGACTTCAATAGTGATAACGAGTCGAGTGTTACTGGTTTCATCCCTCTTGTATTTTATCAAAACTTTATTATTCGTAAACTGTTTGTGTGATCAGGTTATGATGTATAGTGCCAAACATTCAATAAATAAAACGCATGCCAAATTTCATTGATAACTTTTAGTACATAATGTTTAGAGGGAAAAGTTTGACCTCATAAAGGTCTACATTACATCGTTACAAAAGATAGTTTTGGCATTACAAAAGCCCTTTGAATAGTGTAATCACTTAGTCGCAGGGTCGACCTACATACAAAGAGTAGCACCAACGCGTACTCATAAAATTTTACTACCAAGATGTGAGAATAGTAACGAGTTCTAATCACTGCGACCCTTCTTTGACGGAGGCTGCGATGATGTCGATGCGCCATGTAGTTCCGCCAATCTGCGTTCGGCTGCAACCATTCTCTCTTCGAGTGCCATGTATCTTTCCCGATACTCTCTTGTTTCTGCTTGAGCTACGAGAAGGTCTTGAATGAGTTGGTCTCTGTGGTGGGAGTCTCGTTCCAGGTCTCTGGTGCGATCAGTAGTAGACTGTACGATGGCGCTTAACTCCCGGACCTGATTGGTCGTCGTCCTA